ATGCAGTAATCCAGCTGCAGCCTCACCAAGTCTGAGTACAAGGGGAGACTGACGTCCCAGGATTTGCTTGAGAAGCATCTATGGATGCAAGCCAGCGTTTTGCTCACTTTACTAGCTGCAGCATCACATTGCAGGCTCATGTTCATCTTGTGGTTAATGATGACCCCCACGTCTCTTTCTTCCATAGTGCTAGCCAGTGTAGTACTGCCGAGCCTATAAGGGTGCTGCAGGTTTTGCCTCCCAAGGTGGAGAACCTTGCATTGTTCAGTGTTAAACACCATCAGGTTCTCATCCGCCCATTTACTGAGCCTGTCCAGGTCAGCCTGGATCGCCTGCCTGTCTTCAGGTGTGGATGCTTTCCCCAGAGTTTGGTGTCATCGGCAGACTTGGCCAGTCCGCTTCTGACTCCAATGTCCACATCATTAATGAAGATGTTGAACAATATGGGTCCAAGGACAGAGCCTTGGGGGACCCCCCTGGTCACAGGGCACCATGACAATTGACTTCCATCAATTACTACCCTCTGGGTCCGGCCACAGAGCCAATTTCCCAGCCAGCAGATCATGGTGGACCCAAGGCCACAACTGGCCAGTTTCGCCAAGAGGTGATCATGGGATACCAAATCGAAGGGTTTTTTGAAGTCAAGATGTATGGCATCAAGCTCTTCTCCCTTGTCTAGGTGACAGGTCACCTGGTCGTAGAAGGAAATGAGATTAGTCAAGCAAGACCTACCCACAACAAACCCATGCTGGCTATCCCTCAGGATGTTGGTATCAGCCAGTCTGTTAAGGATGGCCTCTTTAATAAACTTTTCTAAGACCTTCCCCAGGATAGACGTCAGGCTGATGGGCCTATAGTTAGCCCGATCCACTTTCCTCTCTTTCTTGAAGATCGGCACCACATTGGCCTTCTTCCAGTCTTTGGGCACTACACCAGAGTATCAGGAGTTTTCAAAGACACAAAGGGAGAACCTTTTCTTGAGGAACATTAAGTCCAGTTCCCACCTGCATAGGTGGCCACTTCATGTTATTCCCTTCATAAACTGAGGATTTCTGTTTTAAAACTAGTCATGTTTTCTTTCACCACTCCTACTGGAATGATGTTCCAGAACCCAGCAACCCTAATTGTTAGAAATTATCTGTTAGTTTTTAGACTAAATTTATTTGTGGCAAGTTTATAACCATCTGTTCTTGTGTATATCTCTTGTCTCCCTCCCAGGTGCACTTATAGAATAAAATCTTTATTGGTAGGGACCTACTCAATTCACAATTTCACAGATGTAATTGAAATCATGAAATGAGTGCAATAACTCCAAAATCTCCAGGGGGAGGTAGAGGGGAGACACTTAATAAAAATAAAATGCTGGCTCCCCTGTGGGAGCCAGCAGTTATTATGGCCACTGTGGCCCAGCTGTACAGCCCAGCCAGGGAGTAATAGGGGTAATGGGGGAGGGATGCTGCCAGCAAAAATGGGAGCAGGCAAGGTGATGGTCACCCACACTCCTCACCTCTGATTGTCTGAGAGAGCTGTCTTTCATGAGGCCCTGCCCCTCTCCACCAATCGGTTGCGAGGGGTGGGGATGCATGACACATACCTCTATCAGCCAATCAGTGGCAAGGGGTGGGGCCAGTTGATTAATAGGTCTCTCAACCAATCAGTCAGGGGGGGCACCAGGGCCCCTCAGCAAATTAGAGTCATGGTGGGGGGCATGGCCAAGATAAGCACACAAAAAATACTGTTGGTCTTGTGGTGTGCCTGCAAAATCAGCTGCCTTCCTCCTGTATTTGGGTAGGTCGCTACTTATTGGGTAGTCACTACCAAAAGTACCAATCATATTTTGATGCTTAATTTTTCACAATGATTAGCAATAATTGTCTTGTTCACAGATGTTGTACACCACTGGGGATTCTAATGCTGAAATACAGAAATAGGTTAGGTATGTTTCTTTTCATGGATGTTTTGGCAATGACATTGCCTACAAGAGTCTGGAAAAAAAATATAGAGACATATAAAAAAAGTTATGAAAATAATTTTCATAACCTGCTTTTGGAACATTAATATTTAAGCTATTAAAATAGTACCTGTATCAGTGCTTCTTTACTGTATCAGTAGAGTCCCTGTATCAGTGTTGCAAGGTGAAACAGCACTTTAGGATACTATAAGATCCTTTTAAGGGTGCCACACAATATTAAGACTGTTCGGTGTGCAAAGACTTACACATAATTCACAAAATAAAACCAGAAGTTTTCAAATAGGGATCCATAATTTTAAAAACATGTTGACCTTTTGTGGTCTTTCTGAGTTCTTTGCAATAAAAGAATTGCTTTATTTTTTTCCATAGTCAAAAGATGAGTGAAAGCTAAGAGTTGGCATTTTTTGAGGATTGCTTTGAATCTAACAAGAGTTGATGAATCTAAAAAGGTTGAATATCACTGTCCTATATAAACGAACACTAAGACCAGAGACAGACATTACACATAAACTTGGTTAATTAATCAGAAACTAGTTTAAACCTGTAATAGAACATAAGTTCAGTGCACATAAACTAGCTTCAAAATGGTTGAAACTGGTTTAAGATAAACATAGTTGAATGTAGTATCAGACTTAATTGATTTAGGTCAAACCAGTCATCAACACATGCATGTGTTCCACTTCCCCTCTTTGCCTCAGAGTGCCAGCCCAGGGCTGGGGTCTGGCAATACTCCTGCCCCTTGAGCAGTGAGCGGGGAAAAGCCTGGGATTCTGCAGGCAATGTCTTCCCAAGACCCCTTCCTCATTTAAGTTAAACAAAAGTATCCCAGCATCCCAGATGCTTTGGAGCCCTGGGCTGGGCTGTGGTGGCCTGGGCTGGGCTGGGCTGGGCTCCCTACAGGCCTGGCCCTACCCCTCTGCTCCCTAGCCAGAGCTCCAAAGAAGACTACAAGCACAGCATGGTCTGCCTGAATTCCCCTGTCCCCTGTCCCCTACTACTCACTGCTCAAGCAGAGATCCCCCCTCCCTCCCATCTTCCACAGCACAGACCCTAGCCCCATGGACCCTATGCTAGCTAATGTTGAGAGGTGTGTGTGTGTGTGTGTGTGTGTGTGTGTGTGTGTGTGTGTGTGTGT